CCCTTCAGGGGGGTAGAGACGCAGAAGCAGCGCTTCCAGCAGCTCGTGCACCAGATGACGGAGCTGTGCTGGGTAGGGGCCTGGGGGGTGCGCGGCCTGCGGAACTCCCCGCCTCGAGGGCGGGGGGCGGAGGGGGGTCGTTACTCCCCGCGGCAAGAAGTTGACTCGTGCCCGGTGGGGTAGGCGAAGTAACGGGGCGCTGAGCCGCTTTGAGGGGGCTCGAGTTGAACCTCCAGGGTCAGGAGCAGTCTCCTGCGGAGTCCCAGGGGCTGCTGGCGATAACAGGGGGCTGGTGTGGGGGCAAGGGCCTCTGGCTGGCCACCAGGAAACAGGGTGTGGCACGGGGTGGGACGCTCGTCTCATATTGGGGGCTCTCCTGGGGTGCAAATACTGCTTTGCCAATGGGTGCTTGTTTCTTGCGTTCCTGTCCCACCTTTTCTTTGGAGGGCAGCTGAGATGGGGGTCTTCCCTAATTTGATCCAGGGACTGCCCTGTGGGATAGGTTAGGCTGAGCCAGCGGCTCAGTCGTCCAGTGAGTTGGGTGGTCCCGAGGGTCTCCCTCTGATCTGAGTCCACCATCACACCACACTTATTACAAACGGCCTCGTTACGTCGGCGTCCCTGATCCAACAATTCAAATCCACTTTTCCCACCTTTGCTTCTATGTCTAAGCCAAAACAAGGTGCGTTCATCTAACCATGTTATCCAGTGTGTGTGTTTGCCATCATTGGGTGCTCGAGTTGGCTAAGCGTGTCATTCTTGTACAAAACATTTGTGGCAAATGTTACAAATTGCGCGCATTTGGTTTTTGTGGGTGGGAACAAGCTTGGGCACTGTCGGCAGCCGTTGGGATTTGCTCGGAAAGAAAGCTGGACGCATCCAATTTGTCTGTTTGCTAGTCATGGGTCTGAGGCGGTTCCCCTCACTCTTGAACGATTTCTGTTTTGTGACATGGAACAGGAGAAATGTATGGACAAACCTGGCCCCAAGCTGGACAGCCGAGCAGAGACCTGCTTTGTAAACTGTGTCGAGCGCTTCATTGATACCAGTCAGTTTATTCTCAACCGGTTGGAGCAGACGCAGAAATCCAAGTCACCCTTCTCCGAGAGCCTGTCCGACTGAGCAGAAGCCTTCAGTGGTGCTGTTTTCTTCGTTAAAAGAAAAACACTATTTTGAATGGGAGAGGAGGATGAAGAATGGAAGAAGGATTCCTAACAATGATAAACTGTGAGGGAGGTTGGCCCCCACATGTGTGATGGACTTCAGGGCTTCCTGGCCACCCTGTCTAGTTCTGGTATTAAAATCCCACTTTGTGAACATTAATAACCATACAACACCACACACCTGCTATTTAACCTGGGTTTCTGCTGTCCTAGGTCTTATTTTTTTTCCCTTGGATAATAGGAGCTTCATACCAGAATGGTGGCTTGACTATCTTCCTTACCCAGCAGTAAGGTGGGGAAAGCACACCCCTCAGAACTTGAAAATGTTCTTTTTGAGATAAGGGAACTGGGAGGCCTCACGAACGGAGCTCCAGGGGAAAGTAGGGGTGCAAATGTGCCTTTAAAATGGTACTGTGCTTGAGCACTACTCTTTCAAGTGATCCAAATGTCACTTGTTTGAACTTGCAACTGAGTTAACCTTTGTACACCGCAAGTAGATCTTGCAGCTGGACAGAGGAGCACCGGATTAATTTGCAGAAGGGTGCCAGTAGAGACCCATTGTCTTTAATGAGGTGTTTTTCAAACCCACCTCAGCACAGTAGAAATACCCCAAGCATGTGGCTGTTGGGAGGGATTGTCGCTCATGTGGGCATGTATATATTTCTCTTGCCAAGTACAAAAATCAATCTTTCTACACTGAATTCCTTGCCTCCTGATCAGTGGAATAAACATCAATTGGATGCATTTTAAACTGCCTATCGAGTTGATGGTCGTTCCTTCTAGGTTTGCTGAAGTTCTAACAGAGGGAATGCTGTTAGTGGCTACTGCATGTGGTAGACAAGCCTTCCCAAAGGTGAGGCCCTCAGAGCGGGTTAGATTTCAATTCTGGACTTGAGGGCACCGATCTGAGGGTCCTGTTTTTTATAGAACTAGAATGCTGTGCTGTTAAGTGGCAACCTTATTCTCATGTTGTGTTCAAACAGTTGCTGGTCAATTCATAAAGCACATTGATTCATAGGCAGTCCATGAAGCGTCTAACCTTTGGTTTTAATGGCTCCTTGTCTCCTGATTGGAAATGTACGGACCCAAGAAAGTTACTTAAATAAAGTTTGCTTGCCTTACTGCCTTCTTACCAAAGGCAATGAAATGCTGATTTCATTGAGAGTGGTCAAATCATTTGATGTGAGGCAAAGAATGATTTGGGACATGAGTGTAAATATGAGAGGCTTCTATCAGATTTCTGCTATAAATTATTTCACTAGCTTAGAAATCTGCATAACTATTCTGACAGATTCCAAAGAGATTGCTGTGTTGGTCTACCAGTGACTGGTCAGGAGAAACACAGGCTAAAAAAAAAACATTTCTCTTGCAGCCGAGTCTCTCGGTATCCTAAAACCTGGCATGTGCTAAATGTTTCTTTTGTGGTGATCTCTACAATTTTATGAGTGACCTCCACCAAGCCTCTTAAGGATTATTTTGTTTGTTTTCTTCTTTTCTATGCTCTTATCTATGAACAACTGAGTGAAAACCAGAAACTTATGGGGGAAAATAATATTGAGAAGGAAGATCTAGCTGTGTGAGAGGGGGAGTAGTTTTTCTCCACTTTGAACATGGTCAATTCCTTGGCTGACTCTGACAGAGAGAATACCCTCATCCTTGCCTGCCTGGAATTCCTCACCTTTGTGGCTTCCAGATGAACAATTAAAAGGCTTTTAGATATTCTAGGGAAGCACCTAGATTGTGTCTCCCCTGGAGGTATCTGCCCTGTCATATTGCAGCTCCTGAAATAGACATTACAGTACACACACACGAGTTGTCTTGTCAGCTTCGTTGCATATTCCAGAATTGTGCAAGGGACTGTGCTGTCTTATGAAGTTACTTGTTTATTGTTTGGTTATCTCTCCAGTCTAGAAAATCGCTCACCCAGCTTTGGTTTCTGCAAATGGGCTTGGCAGGCCCCTAAGACAAAACTATGAGTTGGCTGCAGAAGATTCATCAGCGGGGTGGTTAAAAAAAAATCTTACTATATATTCAATGTAAATTATTATTTCTTCTAATAATACTTCAATAAGAGGAATTATTTTTCTCTTTTTTGAAAAACCAAGATCCCCTCCCTTTCCCCCAGAAAAGGAGAAAATCGGCTTATCCTAAGTCATGAAGTTCATGGCCAGAAATATTCAATAGGCCACAGTAGTCGTCTTTGAGAGTGGTATTTAGTAAAAGAAGTTTAAAAGTCTTCATGGACAGCAGCTTCAATCCAGTCTTATGCAGATCTACTTGGAAATCATTACTGCTGAATTCAGTGGGATTTAATTCCTGGAATTTTCTGTCTACACTTAAAAACAGTGAATTGCGTTACAGAAAAAAATGTTCTTACAAGTAACTAAAGACTATTACAGAACAGTTCCTGCTTCCTTACCACTGTTTTGGACAATGAAATAGTTTATTACTTGGTATTCTATTTTGCCTTTAAATATGCAATTAACATGTAGGATTTCTTCCATCCAAGCACTGGCCAGACGTGTTTTAGTTAGGTTATCTGCAACAACACTTGAAAACAGGGTTCTGAGAATTATATAGTTAAAAACATTCAGACTTCATTAGAATTGTATATACAGGTAGTCCCCGGGTTAGGAACACCCGGTTTATGGATGGCCCATTGTTAAGAACAGAGCCTACTGTAGCAAAATTTGAGTTAAATACACAATGATTGGAGTTACACAATGATTCAAATTAATTACACAATGCTAGTTACACAGTATTATACAATAATACTGTTCCAGCTTACATACAGATTTGACTTAAGGAATGGAACTCATTTCTAAACTGGGGACTAACTGTATACAAAGGAAACAGCCCTGTGCTATGACTGAAATGTTAAAGGATAATTCTGCAACTTTTGCTAGGGCGACTGGTATGGTGGAACCAAGTTTAAATAATTTGCTGGGTGAAAAAGAAGAAAGCTGGAAGTTTAGAAGGAGCCTTTGTTATTACAGATGAGAAACCTGAGACTGGTATCCCTGACCTTTGCTGATTTGGACTGGTGGTTTCACTCTTCTAGACTGAAGTCCTAAGGCTTGGTTTTCCTAGTTCCCCAAAGGAACAAAAGTCTAGCCAAGTCACTTTTCTGCACTTAAATGGCCAGTCGCCCATCCTAGATTGTGTGGTGCAGCTAGAAAGAAAACAGTGAGGAAAATGTTTCTACAACAAATGGCACCTGATGTCAAGTCATGCCCAACTTTATAGGCACAGATAAGGCAAGGAATGTGATCTAGAAATTCACTCCAATGATTGACCACCAACACAAAAGTTTGATGAAAGTGCAAGTCTATTCCTGGACATGAAATAAGTGACTAATTCTTCCTAAAAAAAAAAAAGGAAAAGAATTAGTTAAGAATTAAGATACCAAACAGCAAAAGAAACATGTTTGGAACATACCCTTACACTTTTTAAAGTCACGTTTTACATCTGCAACATATTGCAAGATATTATGTCGTCATATAAAGAAAGTATTTATTTTAAATAACTTGTAAACCTTAAGTCAGCCTGGAAGGCTTTGTACATTCAAAAATCAGCAGAATGCTGGAGCCGATGCAGAGAGCAGCTGTGTTTCCATAAGAAAGACCTGCATCTTGAGGGTAAAAGTTTGTGAACACATTTCAATAGGCCTATGCTTTTTTTCTATGTGAGCTTGATCTCATGTCTGTTAAAAAGCTAAATTCTGCTTCTCTCTTTATGGTTACTCTGCCTTCAATGTCTGTAGCTGTTCCAGCTTCTTTTCCTCTGCGTTCTTCCGGTTCGTATCTGTGACTCAGAAGGGAAGGAGAAAAAGAATCCTTGCCTGTTCCATGCCCCTCTCTGTCCAGATGTCAGTCTCTTGCTCCTGTCCATCTTCTCCGTGGTCCCTCTTCAGATCCCCAGGATGGGACAAGATTGCTTGTCCATTCTTGTCTCTGGTACGAAAGGCTCACAGAGGTACTCATATTTACATTTTTTTAAACAACACACCCTACCCATGCCACATCACCCAACCACTTTTGAAATGAATGCTTTCAAGAGTGGTTTTATGTGCTCGGGGGGCTATCAATATGTCCCCAAGCCCCGTACAGGTACATAAAACTCTGGACCTGGTCTGTCCATTTCTGGAAGCTGGAAAGAAAGGAACTTAAATCCAGCCCCAAAGCCACTGCTTGTCTATCAGCTTGCATCCAACAGGACCTCCACCGGATTCAAGTATGCGGCCAGTGAAAACACTAATTTCTGAGGAAATGGTTCCCAAATAGTTCTGCATTACCTGGAAAAAATTCTCTGGTGAGCCTTTAGAAATCTAAAAGAGCTTACAGTTTATGGTTTTTAGCCAACAGGTCTAATACCTTAGCTTTCATAAACTCTGTTGCTTCTCTGTCCCTTCTTTCTCTACGAACTCTGGATCCAGAAGAGGCTGGTGGAGGCAAGACCGTTCCTTTTCTCTCTCTCTCCATGAAGCTGCTGGTACATCTTTTTGTTTATGTCTCAGGAAAACGGGCAGCAGATCTGCAGCGAAAGGCACGTCTTTGAAAGCGTGGAGAAGAAAGATGCCAAGGACAATGGTGAGGAAGCCACTTACGGTGCCAACAATGTTCATCAGAACCAGATGCTGCCACTCTTTAAACAGAATAGCAGAGCAGGTCATGACGGCTGTGGTGAAGAGGACATAATAGATGGGCGTGACCACAGATGTGTTGAAGATGTCCAAGGCCTTGTTGAGGTAGTTGATCTGGATGCTGATGCAGACCACCAAGGAAATGAAAAGCATCCAGCCCAGCGGTTCTTTCCAGACGGGCTTCCCGGCAAACAGCTCTTTCATGGCAATGCCTAAGCCTTTGACGCAAGCAACCGAAAGCGAGCCGATGGACGAACAGATGAGGATGTACACCAGGACGTTCCTCTGCCCGTAGCGAGGTCCAGCCACGAAGATGAGAAGAACTGAACTCACCAGCACACATATGGCAAACACGATAAATCCTGGGAGATGAAGGGAAATAATTAAAGATGTGTGAGGTCTCAGACACCACTATGGTTTAGTTTGGTCTAGATCAGGACCACTGATGGTCCTCTAACTTCATTCATATAAGCCACAGAAAGTGGCCTGTTATCTGTTCTTTGCACTCATTTTGATAACTGGGTTATCCATTCTGAAGACACATAACCCTATTATCAAAATGACTGACCAATCCTGGATTAGGAGCCTGCGATATTTATGAGACAACATCAAAGCCATCTACAAACTTTCCTTTATACATTTACCAGTTACAGGGGACGTTTTCCAGTGCCATGACTTCAGAGTAATGTCTTTGGTGGTGGTGGTGGTGTTGAAGAATAAATGCTACTAAAATACGAGTTTTGCTTTGCAGAATCTCAATACATGAATACAAATTAAGAGACTCAATGAGACTACCGGCAATTTCCAAATAACGAATGGAGGGAAAGTTGAGGGTGGCTGGTCTAGAGCATTCATGATATAAACTGGGTAACATTAGTAAAATCTGGTCAGAAAAATAAACCACTCTCTGCCAAATTGCTCATGATGTGTGGACTTCAACTCCCAGAATTCCCTAGCCACCATGGGGAATTCTGGGAGTTGAAGTCCACACGTCTTCAAGCTGCCAAGGTTGAGACTGGATTAGAACAGAGACCCCAACAGTTTTGTACTCCTACTACAGAATATTTTCTGGATGTGTAATATAGAAAACAGGCTTTCTGTACCTGGATCCTTCAGTTTCTCCAACATTGAGTCCAGACTGGAAACCGCTTCCTCCTGGGGAGCATGAATCACCATCACAGTAGATCCTAAAATGCTCAGGAGACAGCCAATCTTTCCATGGATATTCAGCCGCTCATTCAGGAAATAGGAGGCTAAAACTGCACTTTAGGAGAAAAGAAACAAAAGCGTTCACAAGATTTGTTTGCTTGAAGAAAAAACGCAGCAGCTACCGACCCCTGCTCCTGGAAGTTAAGATCTAAGGAAGGTGAGGTCTAAGGTGTGTCTGACCGCATGAATTTACCTGACTAAAACGCTAAGCGCCCCTAGTGGAGTAACCAGCGTGGCTGGGGCGAAAACATAGGCAGCGAAATTCGCAGCTTCTCCAATTCCCACTGTAAAAAAGAAGCAACCCGTCAGAAGTGAAAAACTTTGAACGATGCAATTTAGCCTTTGCTTTGCTCTGACCCAAAGCAGAGTCACTTATTGACTCCTTAGTCGTTGTCAGAAATATTTAGACTAGTTTTTTTTTCCAGGATACAAAGTAGGTTACTACAGGTATCCACTGGGTGGGGTGGGGAGCAAATGCAAAACAGACAACCTGAAGCAAATCCACGAAGTTCCCCTTATGTGTTTATGAGTCTAGCTTTTTTTCGTATAGGTTGATGGTATCCCCAAAGTAGGATAATACTTAGTTGGGATGGTAATCATTTTTGTAGACTTCTTAGCAATGTTGCTCTATGGGAGAGGAAGGTTCTTCCCCAAGAATGTCTATGTACTACCACTGGTGATATAATTTAAAATACTCAAGGGAAAAGAGAGGTATTAAATCTCAAGACATACTTACTGGATATTAGTCCTCCCCACCACAGCCACTCTCTCAGATACGCATGACCCCCCAGGCCTGGGGAAAAAAAGGGATCAGAAACTGAAAGAGTGGATCAAGTAGAACAAGAACCTAGTCTGAGAAAATATTCAAAATTTCTAGGAGACTAGGCAGTGGAATCCAGTTTTTTAAAAAGCAAACAAATTAATTGACTTTATCTTAAAAACGTTTTACCGAAAGAAATGCACAAAAATGGGGAAAAAAGAAAGCATATAAAAACAAAACAACAACAGAACAAAAAGGAGAAAACTATATATATATCACATATCCCTCAAACTTCAAGCAATACTTAAACTTTTCCAAATTTAAAATTAAAGAAAATAATGATTGTCTATTATTACGTAATATTGTAAAGTCTATGCCAAAGGGGAACATGCTGCGTCGTTTTTTTGGTGAGAAGATAAACCTTGAATCCTGTCCTTAACATCAGGAACAATACTTACTTTTCCAATTCCTCAAAACAATTATCTTAGCAAACTCTCAGGGCCCGAGAGAACTACGACTCCTAACAATACTTAAGATTCTACTTTTCTAACTCTCATTGTCAAATGATAATTTGGCTAGCTCCAGATTTACCCTTACCTGCTCTGACGGCCCCTCGGCTGTTCAGCCGGAGAAGCCCCTTCTTCTTGAGGATAAAACTACTTCCAATAAATAGGCTGGAGGTCAGAGCCAAGGCTAGGCCAATGTAGAATTCATAATGTCCTGTGAAGGTCCCCATCTGGATCGATTTGAAAGAAAGAGCAGGAGACAGAGCCACGTTAAGACCTTCCTTCTCCAAGAAATGCTGTCTTAGATCTGCTGGACTGGGATTGAGCAAGTTTCTGGAAGTGACTCACTAACGAGCCATCCCATAATCATCCACCCTTCTCCAGATTCATCTTCTTTCTTGGAAGTATGCTGAGTCGTATTTCCTCTCTATTTCCTAATGCGTTGGGTCTGTTGACTTTTTGTGACTTCTTCTGGTTGAGGCTTGGCTGCCTGGGTGAAATAGCCACGATGGTTTGTACAAGGTCATTTAAGGCAGGGGTGGGCCAGTTTCCCACGGCCAGGGCCCTTGGTCCAAAAGCAGCAGCAGGCGCGGGGGGGCGGGGAGGAAACCGACTCTCCCTTCAATCTATAGGAACATCGATAAAAATAAATACAGTTCATGCGAGTCATCTCCAGTCACGCCTTTCACCATGTCCTCTTTCTGTCCCATTGGGAACCCCAAGTGGGCAGCAACGGAGGGACGGGCAGAGGCACCCCGGCCTTAGGAGTACTTTCCCACCAACCAGGGTTGGACCAACAGCTGAGTCGGGGGCCTTTCCCTCCACCTGGGGAGGCACCTCTCCTCCTGCGTGCCTTGCCTGGGCACGATGGGTGTTGTAATCCAAGGGAAGTCTCCAGGGGAAGACCACCGCCAGCTGGCTTCCCCCACAGGCTTCCCTCCCTTTTTTTTAAATAAAGGTCCCAATGAAACCTTACCATCCAAAAGATCAAAATGAATACAAACTAAAAAATAAAAAATAGAAAGTACAGAAAGGAGAAAAGAGAAGAGGAGAAAAGGGAGAGAGCAAGAAAGAAAAAGAGAGAGAGAGAGAGAGAAAGAAAGAAAGAAAGAAAGAAAGAAAGAAAGAAAGAAAGAAAGAAAGAAAGAAAGGACTCCCCCCTTCCTCGCAACAAGCGCCAACAACTTACCCCCTTCTCTTAAAATGCAGCGAGAGGTCTCTTCTTCCCCTCCAACCCGCGCCCCCCCAGATCCGGCCCCCCGCAGAAGGACCCCGACCACCATCCAACCGAGGCTCACCCCAACCCCAGAG